ATATATATGTATATAGAGTAAGAGAGAGGAGTATGTGAGGTCGGGTGGTCATCGTCGTGTGTCTCAAGTCAAATATCACAAGAAAAATCCATTAACCTGTGCTCTTTTTTTTTTCCTCTTGACTTATTTTTGTGTGCGCGCTTTATCTCTCGGGCCCGACCGACACGCTCCTTGTTCATCCGCATTCATTTAGGCAAATGGCAAATGGTGGGCGGGGCAGGCCGGTGCGGTGCGACGCGGCGTTTGCGATTTCAATTTAAGTCTAATGTTTCAAAAATTGAAATTACCTAACAGTATAAAGAAAATGGGCAAGGTTTGTGAAAATGAAGCGTTAAGATACTTTTTTTTTTTTCGACGCGTCGCGACGTCACTCTCAGTGTCTGGGAAGAATCAGAGAAGTGGGTGTTGATTGCCCTTGACTACCTAGAGAGCGGAATATGTTAATCTGGCATTTTTTTGCTCATAATAATAATGTAATAAGAGATCAAAGATAATAATTTGGCTAAGGGCTTTTTGTAAGGGTTTCCTCTATGTCTTTCCTCCGAGTATTTCTGCTAAGTACAATATTTCCTCTAAGTCTTTATTGCTAGAGTGAACGGTCGATCCTCCAAGTATTTCCCCTAAGAGCTTCCTCTAAATATTTCTTCTAAGTCTTTTTTTTTCAAGTATTTCCTCTAAGTAATTCGTCCAAGTATTTCCTCCAAGTATTTTTCTAAGCATTTTTCTTCAATTATTTCCTCCAAGTCTTTAATGCTGAACGATCACACACTTCCCGTCACTTCGCTTTATTGCACTGACTGAAGAAATGCTGCAGCTGCTGCCCTTTATATAGGGCGACTTTCACTCAAACACTGAGACGCGCTCAAATGTTGAGCCCGACGGCAGGTAGATGTCGCTGTAGTCAATATTGAAGTGACCAATGAGAACGCTCTCTTCTGCAGTCGAGCTTTAAGTGACCAATGGGAACACTCTCTGCTACTGCAAGCATTCTAGCTTCGTTTTAATTAAATATAAATACCAAATGAATACTGCTGCATGCCTATAGACAAATTTAATGATCTTCTGTAGTTCTAATTTGTCTCTTGCTTTTGTGAAAGATATATAGACACATATACGAACAAATATATTGGCACACATGCATAGTTAAATCGGATTATCTGATTACGCTGTTTATTTGAAATACGATTATGTATTAATGAATAACAATTACATCAAACATTTAAAAACATAGAATATGTATAAAAATGAATCTCAATTAATTTTTCCTTCCTGTGGATATTTTGTTGATGTGGTGCAGCTTTTCAATGTTCTCCATTATGTCAACAAATATCTCCATCATATTTTCGATGCGCGCACAGTTCTCGCTCTGACTAAAATAGAGTATGATAATCGATTATGTATATCGATAACGTGTTATCAATAACGTGAACTCACATTGCCATTAGATCGCGAAGTTCGGTAATTATTTTCATTTGTTGACTGGGGTTTGGTGTTGGTTTCGCTCGGTTATCCACACTTATCCCAGGCAATTTGTCGGTAGGTCGCAGCCTGGGCGTCAGGTTGATTTGCGCTGTGCTACGCTTGCGCCAGATGCAAAGGTAACGCTTGAAGCCGGCCTGTAGCATGCGAGCTATTACCATGTCGTTGATGATCAATTGCTTCTTCACATCCGAATCGGCGCTCAGATAAATCGCTTTGAATAGATTCTAAGACTTGTGTCAATTGAAGGTCATTTTGGTGACCCGAAGGCCAAGTGGACTTACCAAGATAATGGCATAGGAGACCACAGCGAGTACCACAAAGAAGAATGGTGCGAGCACTCGGTGAGCATCTTCCAGAGAGGTATAGGAAATATCGTTCATGAGGAACCGAATCTGGGCAACTATGGATGAAAACTCGGTTGTATACTCTTCGTTCGATTGGCTGAACGCAATGCAGCCCAACTGGGCAAATGCGTAAATCGAGATCAGACAGAAGAAGCATAAGCCCAATATGCTTTTAATCGACTACAACAGGGGGAAGGGGAAACAGGGTGAAAACTAGATGAGAGCATTGCAAATGCTACCTCTTACCACTCTCATGGCGGCCAGCACCTGTTGAATTGACCGGTGGAACGATATGAACCGTATGGGCTTGAGCCAGACCAACGCATTCATGATGCCCAGCATATGTAAGTACACATTCCAGCCTGTACTCAACTTGTCCATATTTATATATCTCCTGTGGTTCTTTGCGTAGACTTTCTCGATGTCTTTAATCGTAACTATGTGCCAGACATTATAAAACAGCACGCAGTACGCTGCCTAAATAGATGGACGTAGAAAAGGATTATGAAATCGAAAGTGGATGCGGAATGGAATCCAAATTCACTCACAATCAGGAAGAGTACATCAACATAATTATAGAAATTATTTTTGTAGGCCGATGGGCCGACCCACTTAATTTCCCGAATTTCCACATATGTATAGTATATAACGATGATGGAAAAGATAGCTCCAGCAGAAATGGTTACGGGTGTCAAGGTTAGGAAACTGTTTATCTGTATGCCTTGTATAAATGCTGAGGGCATCACCAGTCCCGTGGGCATTATTTCGAACATTAGTCTGAAATTCGTAATGTGATATTAGGAGAGGAACAATCAGTTTAATAGATCTTGAATACTAACTTAAGAACCTGAATCATATTGATGTCCTGGAAGTAGATACTGAATTCGATAACAAACAGACGTGTGGCCGAATCAATCCATCCCGCTTTCATCAGATTCCTCAATAACTTCCTATTACCTTTATAATCGAACTGCAGGTTAATTGGAAATCCTCCACCAGAGTATGTGACAAAAGTTGGTTGCAGACTTTTGGCGTCTGCCACATAGTCTATCCTATAATGACAGTGATTAAATAGATCGATTATATTAGTTGCAAGGCCAAGAGGCTAAGAGTGGATAGAAGAGGTTGAAAGAGGGGGTAAGAGGAGGTAAGAGTAGCTAAGAGAGAGGGAGCCATGGTGAAGGAGAATTACTAGGAGTGCAGACAGAAAGAGAGAGAGAGAGAGAGAGAGTTGGAGACAGACTTAGATGAAGACAGAAGGAGAGAGAGAGAGAGAGGGAGAGAGAGAGAGAGAGAGAGTTGGAGACAGACTTAGATGAAGACAGAAGGAGARGGAGAGAGAGAGAGAGAGAGAGAGAGATCCAGAAGGACAGACCGATCGAGAGATCGAGAGGGAAAGGCGTTAGATGGATAACGATGGACAGTTTAGGAAAGAGGTTAAGAGGTATTTAGATAGATATTAACCATACAAGCTAGTTTTAATTTATGATCTATAAATTCTAAATGAATACATAAAAGAAACAGCAGGAAAAAGGAGATTCGGACAAAAAATTAGAGGATGATGAGTGGAGAGGCGAAATAATAAATATATTAACTGAAAAGATCTTTTCAGAGAGAAGCAATAGATATACGATTCCATTCGTATAGTCCATTGTATCATTACCAAAACATAGCACAGGTGAACACCTAAGCTTACTTACTGCTGATAGGTGCCTTTGAATTCATTCTTAGGTAAATAGTTTGGATAGCACTTCTTCCCGTGTATATCGATAAAATTGATTTTTTGCGGACATCGTGTCTGCTTGACGCGTATCTGTCGTAGTCTTGGTACACCCATCATTAGGCCCATGTTGAATACAAATGGAAATTCATCTCTCTTTTCCCCGGTAAAGTTTTTCTCATGGTGTAGAATATATAGAAAATTAAATGACGCAAAATCCCATATGTCCCATATTTTCTGTACATTGGCGAAAACCGGTCCAATATACTTATGGTGTGACCTGTAGTTTGACTCCTGAACGAATGCATGCTTTGTCTGCTTGTAACTATAATAGGAGTATTTATGAACCACGGTCTCTGTAACTGAACGAACATAGATGGTTAATGGGTGCACCCATGCAGAACTCTCGATGTACTCACTTATTTGCGTGCTAACGAGTAGAATCAGGAGAATAAAAAACTCTGTTATGATGTTTTGAATAATGCGTTCGCTAAGAATCTGGTAAGACGGTTTCCTTGTGTAACGAGCCGGCATATTTTTTAAAGATTTATATTTTCTTTATCAAATTTTTAAGTTAATAATTCGTCACATTCGATGTATTTGAGTAAATAAGCAAGGAGGGTAACGACTCAACTGATTTATTTTCAAAATATGGAGATTTTCGTTCTAGAGATTTAAATCTCCATAATTTTGTATTTTTAAAATGTGATCTCTCTTTTTGTTTTTCTCTATCAGGTGTACATGATTATATGATCATGGATAAATATATATACATATTCCAATAGATGATACCCTTTGGAATCTAGTTTTACATAGAAAATATATATACAGGTTAGATTAGCTTATCTCTGACTGTGAGTTCATCATACTGTAGGTAAGTCATCATAGGGTATGCATCAACAATCGAATCGCTCCCAAGTGCAGGGATTGAATGGTCTGTGAGTGGCGTTGGCTGAGAGAGCTGGTATATGGCACTCTTATGGCCATTTATTAGACTGCAGCTGGGAAGTTTAAGGGCGTCGCCTTGAAGTATGCAACACTTTGTTAGCACTTGACTGCGCTGTGGCAGAGGGCTCTGTGGCATATGCATAGGCGCTGCCATTGTTAGCTGCCTGCCAAGCGAGCTACTCGGCCAGGACAACAAAACGCAACAACTTGGCCCTGCCATGGACCGGAAGTAGCCCGGGCATATAAAAGCTCTTCCGCTCCTTTCCGGTGAAATGTTGCATTTGAAGCAGTGCTGCCTCAGACACAAACACTACAAAGCCCAGCAGCAGCAGCAACGACAACAGACAACAACCACAACAAGTCGACATCAACTCTTGCTCTGCACTTAGAGTGCATCACAATAAACAACATAAAAAGAATGCGCAATCAATCGTTAGCATATGCGAATATTTTATATACCCTGTAATACGGTTGGCTGGGGAAATGCTGCGGGTTTTATATCCTTGAAAGGTCTTCAACATACAAGTTCATGCAGCTCTAATTGGCTCTCTTTATCTATCTCTCTCTCTCTTTCTCTCTATCTCTCTCTCTCTATCTCTCTCTTTCTATAATGGATATATGTAAATATGTATATGTTTATATTTAATATAACTCAAAGCTCTAGCATAATCTATTTTATGCCGTTCTCATTTTGTTATTATTCAGTAATATTTTAGAATTTTCATTTAATTAGTTCATAATATAAAATTGGATTCATAGCTTATCGTGAGCTCGAAATTGTTTTATTAGAAATGCCTGAATTTAAATTATAAATTTGTATATAAAATTTAAATTTGTCCCATTAAATTTTCATTTTATAACATTTTAACTTAAA